CCTGTTGAGAACCACTGTTCTAAATAATGTATGAAGTTTGTGGGAAAGAAGCAGATAATCAAAAGGGGAAAAAAGTGAAAGATTCAAATTGATTTAAAAAAAAAGAGAGAATTTTGGGAAGACAACAGAAGGAGGCAGCATGGAGAAAGGAAAGCTCAAAGGATATTCTTAACTATGGGAAGGATGAGGACGACTCATTTTCTGTCTCTACACAGAGCAGAGTAAGAAGTGGGTTTATATGAAAGAGATATTGAGAGTGGATATATGGGCAATTCAAAGTTAACACCACTAACTCAATGAAATCTTTTCTAAAGATTTTTATGAGCAGGATAATTAATTGTTCTCTTAGGGCTCTGGACCTACCCAGCAACTAACTCACAGTAACTCACAGTGGTTACTGTGAGTTAATTCCAACTCCTGGTGATGCCATGTGCGTCAGAGCGAAACTGTGCCCCACAGGGTTTGCAGAGGCAAATTTTTCAGAAGTAGACCACCATTACCAGGCCATTCTTCCGAGGAGCCCCCAACTTCCCCATTAGCAGCAGAGCTCATTAACAGTTCGCACCACCCAGGGACTCCTTTGGACTTAAGCTGCCAACTAATTCTAAAATTGGAGAATCATCAAGTAATAAAATCTACATTAAAAGTTAGCCAAAATATTTGATCATGATCACATCTACTGTTTCTTTCAAGAAAACAACCAATAACATTTCTCTTGCTGCCAAAGCAATGCATGTTAATTGTTGAAAAATTAGAAAATGCTGTATAGCTAAGCTAAAAAGAAGTGTAAAACATCCTTAATCCCACTAACCAGTGAAATGCCAGAATTGAAAGTGTATTCACTTCCAAATTATATTCTATGCTCTTATGTAGAGGTATATATGTTGTTGTTAGGTGCCGTCAAGTCATCTCTGACTCATAGCGACCCTGTGCACAGCAGAATGAAACACTGCCCGGTCCTGTGCCAGCCTCACGATCCTTGCTATACCTGAGTCCGTCGTCGCAGCCACCATGTCTATCCATCTCCTTGAGGGCCTTTCCCTTTTTTGCTGACCCTCCACTTTACCAAGCACAATATCCTTCTCCAGGGAATGGTCCCTTCTGACCACATAACCAAAGTAGGTGAGACCAAGTCTGGCCATTCTCGCCTCCAAGGAGCATTCTGGCTGCACTTCCCCCAGGACAGATCTGTTAGTCCTTTTAGCAGACCATGGTATATATGTAGACATAAATAAAAAAGAAGGAGCTCTGGTAGCATAGAGCCTAAGGCAGTTGACTGCTAATCGGAAGGTTGACAATTCAAACCCACCAGCCATTCCTTGGAAGGAAGGTTAGGCAATCTACTTCCGTAGAGATACCAGCCTTGAAAACTTAAGGAGGGGTCACTATGCATGGGTCCGACTGGACTCCATGGCACATAACAACAACAACATACAAAAGATAAGATCACTCAGTACACAATGTTTTGGCACTTCTGTTTTTTCACTTAATACACTGGGAATGTCCTTCCACATCAGTAACATATTGTTGTTCCAAACCAAACGAAACTCACTGCTGTCAAGTCAGATCCGAGTCATAGCGATCCCTCTTTGGGTTTCTGAGGCAGTTTGTTGTTGTTATTTGCCCAATCTGCCTTCCAGGAGTGGCTGGTGGGTTTGAATTGCCAGCCTTCTGGTTAGCAGTCAAATGGCACAAGCACTACACTGCCAGAGCTCCTAGTTGTTGTTGTTAGCTGTCCTGTACTGTGAGCCCTGGTGATACAGTGGTTAAGTGCTTGGCTTCTAACCTCAACAGTTGGTGGTTCGAACCTCCCAGCCATTCCTGGGAGAAAAGTGTGGCTGTCTGCTTCCATAAAGATTTCCTCCCCTATTACCCCATTGCTGTGGTGTCCGTAAGTGACCCTATAGGACAGAGTGGAACTGTCCCATAGGGCTTCCAAGGCTGTCATCTTTACGGAAGCAGAGGAGGCCAACTGCCACATCTTTCTCCTACAAGGAGGCTGGCGGGCTCAAATTGCCATCCACATTTCAGTTGGCAGCGGAGCACTTAACCACTGAGACACCAGGGCTCCCTGCCTAGGAAACCCTATGGGAACTGTTGTACTCTGCCCTATAGGGTTGCTATGAGTCAGAATCGATGGGAACACCGAGTGGCTTTCAGGCCCTCTAGTTGGGGATCCCATGGAAGGCAACACTGCCGCCTAGGCCTGTACCGTCCCACAGTCAGTTGTGGATGGACTTGTTGATCCATAGCTTTTTCAGTGAATGGAAGAATTAAAATTCATTTGTCAGTAGCAAGTATCAGATGAATTTTAATTCTTCCGTTGTATAAATGGTTTATCATTTACCACATCCTCTGTTTGGAGATTTAACCTGCTTCCTGCTTTGATATATATAACATTGCAGCAAATCTTCCTTAGTTAATTCCTTGCACACCCTAATCCCTCTCCCCCAGGGTAAATTCCTGGACAGAAAATCACTGAGCAAAAGGTTACCCATAAGCCCATTTGTAATAGGTGGAACTATTTGCTTATACTTGGAATGATTTTGGTCGGAATTGCTAAATGGATCACCAGGAAGATCTATCAATTTACACTCTCCTGGGTTACGTATGTGTGTGTTTTTCGTTTTTTAAAAATCTTTGCTAAATTGACAATTTGATAGTCGAGGGTGGTGGACGCTATGGAAGACTTCTCTCATTCTCTTACAAACAGACGTGGTCTGTTCCCCTAAAATTGAGCAAGCACCTGGAAAGGAGAAGATGAAAGTATCTTATTGCTAAAAAAACCTCCCCAGGGAAAGAAGGGGCCAGTATATTAGTCATTTCTGCCGGTCCTTTTCCGAGCACAGGAGAGCATTTCATACCCCAGTCGACTCTTGGAACTCCTGTCACAGTCGGAGGGCGGGCTGTGCTGTGCCAGGGCCTCTGGCTCTCTCTGGACACGAACGCAAGGAGCAGAGAAGGCGGGCAAGTCTGGCACGCCGCCTTGGGTGCCTCGGGGGCCAAGAGGTGACCGAGACGGGTGGGCGGGGCTTGAGTGGCTGCGCCGCGCACGTGACGCTCTTGGGGCTTCCGGGCGCCTGGAGCTGAAATCAACATTTGCCTCTGGCAGGAAAATGAGTTTGTCAAGTTCGGTCTCCATCAACTCCTCAACCCAAAGGCGCAAAGGGTTCCTGTAACGTTTTAACTGTCTCGCTCTGAAATTCGAAAGCCAAAGGTAAGTTATTTATCATTCAGAAGGACAAAGGAGAGGGGTGACCTAGAAAGTCACATTGCCACTGTTGATTTTTAAAAGCTACTGTTGAAAATAATAGATTGGTGTGAGAGGTAAAGGCCCTGTTTATCCCCCAGTTAGCCACTGTCCTTCTGAAAGGAAATTTGGTTAATCTGGATGGAATAGAGGTCAAAGGGCCAGGGATAAACATAAACCATAAAACCAAACAAGTCGATTCCGACTCAGCGACCCTATAGGACAGAGTAGAACAGCCCCCATAGAGTTTTCAAGTCCGTAATCTGTACGGAAGCAGACTGCCACATATTTCTCCTGCAGAGCAGCTGAGGGATTCCAACCGCCAACCCTTCAGTTAGCCGGCAAGCGCTTAACCGCTGCGCCACCAGGGCTCCCTCAGGGTTAAATATAGGGACGAAAGTTGTTGGAATAAATAGCAAGTAAACCTAACTCCTGCCGGCTTGAAAAACGCGAAACACCGTCAATCCCACATCTCTCTTGAGGGTGTGAGCAAAGGGAATGGTAAAATTGGCATTGAAACGGAGGCGAAATAATCCATAGGAAACCGGAATGCAGTGAGCACAACTTCTGCTTCTGCCCTTGAACATTTCAAAACATTACTGTGGCTTGGTCAAGCAAAAATTTATACGTTCACTGCTTGAGTTTGAAATATGCTATGGCAAATTTAAGAAATGATCCCAGTTAGAAGTTTCTAACGCTTTCTAGGCAAGACTCTGAGTTCTGAATGAGAATTGGTTACATTCTACTTAGCTTCTGTATTAGGAAGATGACTCACTTCAGAATGTGAGAAAACGGGAAACCAGCAGTTACTGTGAATTGACTCTTAGATGTGTGAGAAATTAAATTCTTTTGCCAGAAGATTTAATAAAACACAGACACAAATACAAGCATGCTCCCGCCATCACGCTTTATGTCACATAATCAAATGCGTGAGTAGGTAACATCAATACATATAAACATATCAATGTCACCACTGTGTTCTTTTGGCAAATCCAGACTGACATTGAAATTTAGCTAACGCGAGTAATTCAAAGCCTTATTCAGCAGTGCGGTTAGTACAATATTCTATAATGAATATGCTTCAAATGAAAGGATTTGCTATACGATTCGAAACACTGAACATTTATGCAAAATATATGCATGAACCCTAAATTTTGTCATTTTGATTTGCACAAAACTACATTTATTTCTGCATTGCGTTTGCTCAATGGTGTTTTCTTATTTAATTTTGGTGGTAATATACACAACAGATAAATGATTTTTTTTGAAGTGAAACACGAAACTGTTTCTTTTAATTACTAATCCCCTTCTTGCTTGTTGTTGTTGTTGTTATTTGCCATCGAGTCGGCCCCGACTCCTACAGACCCCTCCTTGGGTTTCCGAGGCAGTTATCACTACAGAAGTAGGATTGCCCAACCTTCCTTCCGAGCCCTTCTTGCTAGGGCCTTTGAAATCCTATTACAAGCGTGGCCCTATAATGATTGAGATTTCTTGTGCTGTTTGTTTTCCATGACCCCTTGTGCAAGGCGAGGTAAGCTGTCTACAACAAGCAAACGTCCCAAAGGGACACGTGCGGCTTTGCGGACCACTGGCTCCTCCGCTCCAGGGACATCTGGGGTCTTTCCCCGCCTCCGTTGACTTCCCCACAGGACCCCGAAGGCGTCACGTGGCGCGTCGGGCCCGCCTCCCGGTGACGTCAGCGCGCTCCTGCCGTCGCGCTGGAGAAAGGATGCTCTAGGCTGCGGTCCAGGTGCGCGGCCGGCTGCGCGATGCGGCAGTGCAGGTAAGGGGCGCCCTCCGGGCCCGCGGGCCTGCAGCCGGGCGGCGCCGCCCGGAGCCAGCGGGCCCTCTGGCTGCTGCGGCTCCGCTGCCCCCAGCCGCCTGCTGCTGCCGCCGCCCGCACCAAGTGAGGGTGGCGCATGGCAGGCCCATGCGTGACTTGGGTCCCTGCATACCCCTCCCTGGGAAGTGGGAAGTGGGCAGAGGCCAGGCAGCAAGATGGGTGCCTCTTGCTCAGGAGGCAAACCATCTGGCATGATGACAATACATACATTATAAGGGGAGAGAGAGGCTTCTAAAAGATGCCTGTCAGCTGCTTTCCAACTGTCATTGTGTTTCTGAAATAATGAGACATCTACCAGTTCTAACAGGGGCTTGCCGTCGGGCGTTGGCCTGATTTTTTACTGGTGAGTAGAAACTTCTTGGCTGGCAATTTAAGAGGCTGATGTGCAATCAAAATCGGTGTGCATTATTTTGCAAGATGCTAGCATTTAAAAGAGAGATGTCAAAATGGATTTTTTTTTTTCCCTTCCAGGTGTTTTAAGTTGATTGGAAAATACCAGTAGCCAATAAAATAAGATGCAGCTCCCAGAGATAACACGCGGGAGTAAGAGAGAACATCTCTAAGAACAAAATGGTTCTTTAGGGGGGAGGCAACTGGTAGAGAGGAAACCCAAAACCCAAGAATTCCCAGCTCTCTTCTTATGAATTCCCTTGCTCAATAATTAGCTTGCTGAAAGAGGGGCTCAGTGACTCAGCGGCAGATGGAGGGGTCAGGTGACTTTCCAGTTCTCGCCTGGCAGGGAGTGGGATTCGATTGGAGTCTTCAGAGGCTTCTGAAGGCTGATTACATTCCTTTCTCTGGCTCCAAAGGAAACCATGCCAGGCTGCCTGTGGGCATCCTTAGGACTAAATACTAAATATTAAAAATGAAAATATTCTTTCATGTAAAATCTGACTCCACTGGGAACTCTGGGGTCCCTACACCAGACTGGAGCTCATGCCATTACGTAAAATGTGACCCACCAGCAAGTTTGAGGTACAGCTGTCAGGCATTGCTATTTTAATCAATCACTGAAGAAGGCATTTCTTTCCAGGCTTGGGACGCACCCTGATGAATTGCCGGAGTAGTTCTGTCCCTGATTGCCAATTTCTCCCTTTGGTTAAGAATTAAGATCCCTGCCACCCAATTCTCCCCACTCCCCCAGCCAGCCTTAGAGCAGGGCACAGACCTGGATTCTCCTCCCCGCTTTGCAGCTGTGTACCCTGCGAGAAGTCCCTTTGTCTCTGTGGGCTTGTTTTCTCATCCTCCAGGTGGCAAAGCGATGTGGAGCAGGGTTTCCGGGCCTCAGTGCTGGTGACGTTTGGGCCGGCTCCTTGTCTGGGGTGGGGGCTGCCTGAGCCCTTAGGATGCTGAGTAGCATCCCCAGTTTCTACCCACTTGATGCCAGTAGCCACCCCTCCCACTAGTTGAGGACAACCAAACATGTCTCCAAACTGCCAAATGTCCCCTGAGGGCAAAATGGCTCTGGGTTGAGAACCCCTGGATAGCTGATCAGTAGTGTTCCTTTGGCGCTAATGTTCTAGTATTCATTTCTCTCTCATTTATCTGATGCTGAGCCCTTTCAGTATGTTGTAGATATTGGAAAATACAATGTGAAGGCATCTTTATGCTGTGGTTTTCCAGAAATAGCTTATGTCAAAAAGGGGAGGGCTGTCTGTGTGCCAATTACAGCTGGGAAGCTGCCTTGGGACAAAGGCGAAAGGGAAGGAGAAAAAGCCCAAGGTGCAAGGTGTGAGGAGACCATGCTGGGGAGGTCACTGTCCGAGACATGACTTAGTAGCTGAAAGAGCACTTGATCTGTAATAGTGAACATGACAGTGCCCACTTGGCATCTGGTGATGGTGCTGAGTGTGATGAGAAGATGGAAGTGATGGCTATGATTGCTAAGACAGGAAAACACAGTCACTCACTCACCATGTTTCGGTTCTCTAGTGCTGCTCCAACAGAAAATACCACAGGTGGATGGCTTTAACAAATGGATTTATTCTCTTACAGTTTAAGAGGCTAGAAGTCCGAGTTCTCGGTGCTAGGTGAAGGCCCTGCAACCTTGGGCTTTAGCTCTGCCTCTTTCTTCTGGCCTGCTGAAGCTGGAGGCTTCTCTTAGGCAGCTGCTGGCTGCTGAGGCTGACAAACCCAAGGTCAACAAGTAAAATGGCATAGTCCCTAAATTATTAAGCCACGTGGCAGGCCACTAGTTCAAGTCCCAAAACAGTCTCAAGATCAGCAGGCAACATGGCAAGCCACTGAGATGAAGACTTGGCCAAATGCAGGATCCAGATGTACCAAGAAGCTGGAAGGGGGGAGGAGAAAAAAAAACAAACAAACTCACTACTGTCAAGTCAGAGCCAACTCATAGCAACCCCTCCTTGAGTTTCCAAGGCAGTATCTCTACAGAAGTAGATTGCCCAATCTTCCTTCCAAGAAGTTGCTGGTGGGTTTAGAACCACCAGCCTTCTGGTCAGTAGGCAAATGCCTCAGGCACTATGCCACTAGAGCCCTTCCTTCCTCAAAGGTTCTGCTTATACACTGGAAGCAGATCACATCCCTAAGGCAGTTACTCAGCTGCTCACAGCAGATTCCACCATGGAGTTGGTTACCAGTCTCATCATGGAGAATAACTACATCCAGCTACCCAGGCACTCAAAACCAGGCCCAGCCAAGGTGACACCTAACCTTAACTACCACACACCCCAAACAGGAACACCCCCTCAAGACCATGGTGGCAGCAGTACACTGGAAGGTGTACTGAGGTGACTGTGGCTACATCACTTCACCTACAATATCACATCATATAGCTTCTGGAAAAGTTCACTGCACACTCAGGAGAGAAAGGGGACAGAGGAAGAAATAGCAGTTTAATAGTTTTGACATCTGAGAGGGTCATGGGGGCTCCTAAGAGTCTCCAGACCGTTCTTTGAGAAACATGCCATAGATCAATAATTTATTCTTAAATTATTCAGTTCAGTTACATGGAGGACAGGGAGAGATGAGGCAAATAGGGCCAAATAAGAACAATTGTTGAATCTGGTTGTATTCATTGGACTCTTCTCGATACTGTTCTCTGTGTTTGAAAATGTTTGCAAGAAACAATTTAAAAAGGGGAAACAAACAAACCAATGACAGGAAAGGAATGAGGATTCTCTGGACCCCTCAGGCAGGGATTCTGATCCATAAGGTCTAGGGTAAGGCCCCAGAGTCCCTGGGGGCTGTAAATGGTTAACATGCTTAGCTGCTAACCAAAAGGTTAGAGGCTCGTGTCCACCCAGAGGTATCTTGGAAAAACGGCCTGGTGAACTACGTCTGAAAAATTAGCCGTTGAAAACCCTGTGGAGCACAGTTTCACTCTGACACACCTGGGGTCATCATACGTTGGAATCCACTTGACGGCAGTGGGTGGGGGAAAGGCATTAAGCTTGCTCCAGGGGCCCTGAGCATCTAGGCCTTCGGCCCTACCTTGCCCGCCTTTCTCCACCCGTCAGCCTTTTTGTGCTAGCCGAGGGGGCTCAGTGGAGACAGGTGTCTGTTGTCCTCCCACTCGCCCTCCTCACGGGCTCTGGTGTGTTGGCTGTAGGCAGGGTCTTGTTATCAAACTTCTGCTTAACGACATTTTCCAAGGGTGGCTAGAGATCAACTCTCCTTTTTAAGGGCAGCATGCTCGTAGTATGTTCCATTGTGTGGAGGGTACGATAGTTTGTTTAACCCATCTGATGGGCTATTTTGGGTTAGTTGATCCTTTGTCATCTTTGAATGTGAAAACTAAAGAGGAGCAGATCCTCCTGGGTTCATGAGGTAGATGGGTTTTAGACGTTGGAAGTGAACTTTCCTGCCGTTCCTTGAGCCCACCCCCATGTGTTCCTGTCGCAGGGTCTGTGAACTGGTTGTTCTGTGCCCTGGCCTTACATGCTAACCTGACCCAGGTCATTCATGTCCCAGTGTCACCTCCAAGTGGGCTTCCCTCATCATCCTATCCTGACCACTCTTGCATTTCCTCACAGATATATTACACTCTGGAATAAGAAGTATCACTGAAGCTTTTGTTTGATGTTAGACGGGTCTTGAGAGCAGGCCCCTGGCTGCTGGTCGAATTGAATTGAAGTATGAGACCAGAACCTTCTCTGATGGTGGTGACTTTCTAATCTGTGGGAAGAGTCCTGGGGGGCTGGGTTCAAGCCCCTGACCCACACCAGGGACGAGTCAGTGGCAAAAGTAAGTGTGGTGATGAGACGGCTTCGAGGTGGACTTCCCCTGATGATGGTGTCGGGCCCCCTCTAATCTTCTGCGGTTTGGAGGCCTGGGGTAGGTTTTGGGGCTAGGCTGAAGTGGGAATTGCACCCAGATGATTCATTTTGCTCCCTTCCTCGGGAACTCTCCTCCCTGCCCTGGTAGGCGGGGGCCGGCTGACTCATTTCTTGTGGCTGACACTGTTCCCCTTATGTGTGCTCACTGTGGCGATTTTTACAGGTTCTTTCTATGGCTTGACTGTTTCTCTGCCTCTTGGTTCTTAATTTACCTTCTGTTTCTATTTGGCTAAATGGAAAACTTATCCCGCCCCTCTCCCCACAGTTGGTGTTGGGGGGGGTGGGTTAAAAGGGCTTTGTGGCGAGCAGATAGGAGGGCCAACCACAACAATGACAGACGAGTTATTTTTCTTCTTTGCTTAATCATGCTTTCCACCAGCACTGCTTTCCTCCCAAATTTACAAATTGACAGAAATTTCAGAGTTCACCTTGGTAACATAGCCATGTGTTAAGCTACCCACAGCCATGTGCACACAGTAGCCTTGTGGCAGCCTTGTTCCCCAGGAAGAACTCACCAAGGCCGCCTTGAATGCCTCCCTTTACTTAACTTTACAAAGTTGCTAGTCATAAATGATAATATTATTATTTTTTAATCTACAAGGAGGTGTAACTCCTGTAAGCAGAACATAGATTGTTGTGGAA